TTGAATGAGTTTATTTGATTCTTGGCTATTTTCTCTTCCACTGAAATTCACTGTTCCAAAGTTCACAAGCAGCTGCAATGGATGGTCCTGGAACCATTTCTTCTCACTCAATGCCCAGGGAATATTTCCTAAAGTTTGTTGTTGGGGAAGTATTATGTATGTCTTGATGGATATCATGTTGAAAGCACCTTTTTTTGAGAAGTCTGCTTTTCAGAAGTCATTCTACTGGTGAGGATCCTTGTTAGAAATTTCCTCTATCTCTAAACTAAATTCAACTAGTTTAGGATAAGTTCTGTTTTTCCTTTAGAATAGCTTTCTTTTCGTATTTATGTGATGGAACATTATAGCGGAATTCTCACTCCTCCAGTTAAAATATCTTCTATCTGCTGTGCTCTCCTGGCTTGTTTCCAAGGTGCTGTGTTAGGGAGAAAAATATAGTCATATTGCTTGGCTTTTACACCTTCCTTATAAAGTCTAAGCATACCCTGGCCCTGTTTTAATGGGAACACAGCAACTCTTATAAGTATCATTAGTAAAACAATAAACCTCCCCTCTGTCCAGCTCACTCTCATATCATTAAGCAAGACCAGGATTTGATTATAAAACACTAGTGCTTTTCTTGAAAGTGCAAAGCAAGTAACTTACTTTTTTTTAAAGGAAAAGGAGAAATACAGTACACAGTAATGTCATATTTTCTGAAGGTGGCAGTATTCAAAAATTTGAGTGGACTGAGGAGGAAAAGGAAAAATGATGTCATGGATATGGAAACAGAATGTGGAATTTGAAGTCTCAAGTAAATCAAAAGTATTTTGCTTCTAATGCTATGGATCAACATTCTCTGTCTCTCTGTTGGAATCTGATACTTACATTTCAACAGTTATTATTATTTTTTTCTCTACTTGCTTTGTGCCTTTCCTCGTTGCAGGGATAAAGCTTATTTAGAAGAGAAGCCAATTACATAGAATCCCCCAAGGCACAGCTTAGAGATACTCTTTGGTCCTTGTAGACCTTGGATCTCCAGAAATATCTAAGATACTTTGATGTGAGGATGGGAACATTTGACATTTGCAAAAATAATAGTTTTATTTAAGCAAAGATATGGACCAGTGAACCAAACTTCCCTAATAATATAAATATTTAAAATATGTGAAAGGATATTTGATCATCCATGACTTGGGGAGAGAATACTAAGTGGCTCAGTCAGGCCATACTGCTAACTTATTTCAAAAAGGAGGCTGGAAATATCAAAGAAAGCTCCATATTAAGCACTTGGCAAAACATTTTAACAAAAAAGAATATGACCACTTCTACTTTCTACTATAGCATAGACATGAAGAGCACAGACTTTGGTGTCAGAGCTATGTATTGTTCCAAAGTTATTAACTGTTTTGAGCTACTGCTAATGTGTTAGAACATGGAGAAAGAAAATTTAAAAAAAAATCAAAGATCTAAATATTAAATCAAAACACAATCTTCTGGAAGGTAAAAGAGACATAGGCATAGACTTTCTGAACAGAATTCCAATTGTATAAGAAATAGTACCAAGAATCAACAAATGGCATTATATCACATCTTCTACACCGAAAATGAAACAACCAACACAGTGAAGAGACAAGCTAGAGAATGGAATAGAACTTTGCTATCAACTTCTCAGACAGAAGACTAATATCTAGAATGTACAGAGCTCAAAATAAAACACCCAATCAAGAAATAGATAACCAAAATAAATAGACACTTCTTAAAAGGAGTATTGATAGCCAATTAATACTTGAAAAAATTAACATCTTTGATCATTAGGAAAAGGCAAATTTAAGCAACACCGAAATTCCTCTTTACTCAAAGAATGGCCATTATCAAGAAATCAAGTAATAGCAAGTGCTGGCTGCAGGGGAAATTGTTGGTGGGAATGTAATTTAATATAACCACTATGGAAACCATTATGGAAATATTTCAGAAAACTAACAACATAAATGCAACTTTCCCCTAGCTATTCCCTTCTAGGCATCTTCCTGAAATAGTAAAGATATAGCAGCACAATTCTTAATAGAAAAATCTTGGATGCAACCTATATGTCCATCAACAGTTGAATGGATAAAGAAAATGTGGCATTTATACATGATGGAGTACTACTCTGCTATATCAAAGAATAAACTTGAGTCATTTGTAGGAAAAATGGATGTAACTTACAACCATAATGTTAAGTGAAATAAATCAGATGCACACCTTAAATATTACATAGTTTCTCTTATAAGAGAACCCCAAAGTATAAGTAATTTAAAGAACAATATAAAAATAGACAATAGGAAGCAGGGAAATATTTTTGCAATTTGGAAGACTATAAGAAGATGAAGGGAGGGGCAAGAAGAGGAGGGAGGAGCAAAAAGAATTAAGATGTTTTGTACATGTACCAAATCATGCTGAATATATCATCATGTACTGCAATGATTTACTAATAAAAATAAAAAATTTAAAAAGAAAAATAGATTTTTCTCTGAATGTATCATTGTAGCATAGTTCTGAGTGTCTGAAGGTAGCTACACATGTCTTAGTGTGATTATTGGGAGAGTTATTTAGGCAGCTTACAAAACATTTTTTTTTTCTGATATAAATGCCCTGAATGGGTTCTGTGTTCTACTCCTGTTAGCTTACTTTACATTAGGAGGTAATGTTGAGTTCCAGGTCATTTTATTTATTAGCCATCATCTAACCCGATTACATGCAGTTCCCATGTAGACTGACAGCAAAATGCTTTGGCCCACCCTGGTCTGTCTTGTACATCATAAGCCAAAGAGATACTAAAACCTGGATTAGATGGAGGAATTATGCTGGTTTCCCTAAGTATATACTAGACAAAATGATTCTAAAACTAGCATACATGATCTATTCGTTCTGGTTTTTTTCCAACCCAATCACCATTATTAATTTAAATTATGACTGAACTCAACTTCAAATCATAGAAATGCCAGTGACTTGCTTAAGCTATGTTTCCATTGATTTTAAACTAATCAGATCATTCAAAAAGCTGCCAAACCCAGCCCAGAGGAATAAAGAAATAAGAGGTAACCCTTGGATGTGGCAGGGCAGGCATCTGAGGCTGCTAAGAGAGCACTTCCCCCAGGTGTGACTATATTAAAGCCATATTTCACTTTAATGGGGAAGGGCTGGAAAAAAGCCAGGCGAAGGTGGCCCCTCCTGATGCATGGGACTCCATTTGGGCTAATAAAAGACCACTTAGCTACGAGGGCTCATTACAATTAAATTGTCTCTAAACAGTTGCTTGCTTGGTAAACCTGGAGTGGAACAGATGGAACACATGTAGTGGGGAGGCAAAGTCTGTATTGGCCCTGAAGTCAGCAGTGGATTGTGAGGTCATTGTAAATCTAACTGCATGGTGGTGATGTTGAGTGCTCTTTAATCATTTTTTGCCCCATCAGAGGACCCACAGCCATGGTATTCAATCTGCCCAAAAGTTTAGGATAACCTGTCTTTCCTCCTTCCTATAATATTCTATTCTAGTTTGGTTTCAAGGTAATATTAGCCTTGTTAAATGATTTGGGGATTGTTCTCTTTTTCTATTCCCTGATTTAATTTTTAAAACAGAGACTGTTTATTATTTGATAGATTGAAATTACTATAAAGCTTTAACATAAAAGCTTCACTTATAGACTTTTACTTTTAAATGTATAATGTTATAAGCTTTGATACATATGTACACAGATGAGGTCATAACCACGGTTAAGGCAGTGAGAGTAGCCATAATTTCTAAAAATATTCTTTTCTCATTTTGTAATTTATCTGGTTTCTCAAACCTTTATACCAAGTTGAGACCCAGGGAACCAGTAATCTACTATGTATTCCACAGTTTGCATTTTGCCTACGTATATAAACTTCATGCTATATTTTTATTCTTCAAATGTCTTTTGAAGTTATATAAATAAGATATAAGATTTATCTGATATGTTTACCTAAGTAATCAATATAAGTGGCATTCATTCTTTTGGCATATCTATATATTCATTTGACATCATTTTTCATGTGCCTTCAGGACTTTCTATAGTGTATCTTTTGGTTCTGGTCTGCTGGTGATACGTATTTTAAATTTTTCTTGCCATTTTTGAAAGGTATTTTCACTGCACACAATATTCGAGGATTAGAGTTTTTTCTTTCCAGGATTCAGAAGATGTTGCTACATTGTTTTCATTGCTGATATTGTTTCAGACAAGAAACCGCTGTCATTCTTTCTATTTTAGCCTCCTTTTCTTTTTCTACAGCCTATTTCTATGATTTTCTTTATCACAGATATTGATGAATTTAATTATAGTAAACATTGGTATAGGTTTCTAAATGTTTCTTGTACTTGAAGTTGATTGTGCTTCTTAGATTTATGAGTTTGTAGTATTCATCAAAATGTGCAACATTTTAATCATTATTTCTTTAAATATTGTTGTCACCTCCTTTTCTTCACTTTCTTCCAACCCAATCACCATTATTAATTTAAATTATGACTGAACTCAACTTCAAATCATAGAAATGCCAGTGACTTGCTTAAGCTATGTTTCCATTGATTTTAAACTAATCAGATCATTCAAAAAGCTGCCAAACCCAGCCCAGAGGAATAAAGAAATAAGAGGTAACCCTTGGATGTGGCAGGGCAGGCATCTGAGGCTGCTAAGAGAGCACTTCCCCCAGGTGTGACTATATTAAAGCCATATTTCACTTTAATGGGGAAGGGCTGGAAAAAAGCCAGGCGAAGGTGGCCCCTCCTGATGCATGGGACTCCATTTGGGCTAATAAAAGACCACTTAGCTACGAGGGCTCATTACAATTAAATTGTCTCTAAACAGTTGCTTGCTTGGTAAACCTGGAGTGGAACAGATGGAACACATGTAGTGGGGAGGCAAAGTCTGTATTGGCCCTGAAGTCAGCAGTGGATTGTGAGGTCATTGTAAATCTAACTGCATGGTGGTGATGTTGAGTGCTCTTTAATCATTTTTTGCCCCATCAGAGGACCCACAGCCATGGTATTCAATCTGCCCAAAAGTTTAGGATAACCTGTCTTTCCTCCTTCCTATAATATTCTATTCTAGTTTGGTTTCAAGGTAATATTAGCCTTGTTAAATGATTTGGGGATTGTTCTCTTTTTCTATTCCCTGATTTAATTTTTAAAACAGAGACTGTTTATTATTTGATAGATTGAAATTACTATAAAGCTTTAACATAAAAGCTTCACTTATAGACTTTTACTTTTAAATGTATAATGTTATAAGCTTTGATACATATGTACACAGATGAGGTCATAACCACGGTTAAGGCAGTGAGAGTAGCCATAATTTCTAAAAATATTCTTTTCTCATTTTGTAATTTATCTGGTTTCTCAAACCTTTATACCAAGTTGAGACCCAGGGAACCAGTAATCTACTATGTATTCCACAGTTTGCATTTTGCCTACGTATATAAACTTCATGCTATATTTTTATTCTTCAAATGTCTTTTGAAGTTATATAAATAAGATATAAGATTTATCTGATATGTTTACCTAAGTAATCAATATAAGTGGCATTCATTCTTTTGGCATATCTATATATTCATTTGACATCATTTTTCATGTGCCTTCAGGACTTTCTATAGTGTATCTTTTGGTTCTGGTCTGCTGGTGATACGTATTTTAAATTTTTCTTGCCATTTTTGAAAGGTATTTTCACTGCACACAATATTCGAGGATTAGAGTTTTTTCTTTCCAGGATTCAGAAGATGTTGCTACATTGTTTTCATTGCTGATATTGTTTCAGACAAGAAACCGCTGTCATTCTTTCTATTTTAGCCTCCTTTTCTTTTTCTACAGCCTATTTCTATGATTTTCTTTATCACAGATATTGATGAATTTAATTATAGTAAACATTGGTATAGGTTTCTAAATGTTTCTTGTACTTGAAGTTGATTGTGCTTCTTAGATTTATGAGTTTGTAGTATTCATCAAAATGTGCAACATTTTAATCATTATTTCTTTAAATATTGTTGTCACCTCCTTTTCTTCACTTTCAAGAATTTTAAATCCATGTGCTAGGTCACTTGACATTGTTCTCCAGACAAATGTCAATTTTTCATTTTCTAAATTAGTTTTTCATTCTCGGGGTTGGTTACTGTGTCTTCAGTGTCACTTATTTTAATATTGAATTTATGTTTATCTCACTCAGTATATTTTTATTTTCCAACATTGTAGTTTTCATCTCTAGAGCTATGATTTTATTTTTGTTTTCATTAGGTACCTGCTAACTTTTTGAACATATATAATACAGTTGTTCTTGTCTAATAATTCTAATGGTTATGACAGTTTTCCAGGTTATATCCCATTGGTTATTTTTTCTATTTCAGTCATATTTATGTTTTCCTTTTCCTGTGTGGTAGTATTCAATTGGATTCTGATATTGTAGCTTTTACATTGTCAGCTGCTTGATATTTTCTGCAGAGATTCCTGAGTTTTGGCCTGGCCTCAATTACAATATTTGTAAATAGTTTAACCCTTTTGTTTCTTGTTTTGAAGACTTCTTAGGTGGGATGTAGGCCACAGCATTTAGCCTAGGCCTAATAGAAGTAAACCCGAGTCCTCTAAGCAATGCCCTACAAATTATGAGGTTTTCTTGTGTTTCTGGTTGGGACGATCTGAACGGACAATACTGCGTACACCAACTCCTATAGCCCTAAGTACTGTTCAAAGTACAGTGCTTTCTTCACACACATTGAATTAGTAATCTTTCTTTTGTTGGGACAAAATAGCTGACAAACATAACTTAAACAAGGACAGCCTTATTTTGGCTCATGGTATCAGAGGTTTTCCATGGTCAGTTGACTTGCAGGAAGAAACATGGCTCAAAGTCATGGCAGAAGAAAGCTACTCACTTCATGGCAGCCAGAAAGCATTGAAAGAGAAGGGAGGAAAGTCTGGAGAAAGATACACTCTGCACACCTTTCCCCAGTGGCCTGTCTCCTCCAATCAGGCTCTAACTACTAATGGCACATTCAGATAGGAGGCCCACCTTGAATATTTGAGAATTTCAGGGGATATGTTTTGTTTCAAACCATAACATGTATACTCTGTTGAATTTTCAAGGATAATCTGCTTATCTCTGGAATTTTTTGACTGTGCCTCTCTTTCTTCTGCCTCTCTGTTCTGGCAGAACACAGATTTTCATTTCTTTTCTTTTCCACTAAGTTGACATTTCACAGACAAAGAAGTTTCACAGATTTTCTTTTTTCTTTTTGGTACCGGGGACTGAACTCAGTTCCTTGCGCTTGCAAGGCAGGCCACCGAACCGCTGAGCTAAATCCCCGGCAGATTTTCTTGATTGGCAAAAATTTTAAGTTTTGTGCCTTCAAATGAGGGAATTTTTCAGGCTTTGACAGGATTGTGATTCTTTGAATTATATCCTGGATATAATCTCACTATCTGAAAAGAATTGGGGAAATCTTAAGCCTCTTTTCTTTCCTAAATCTTTCTTGAGATCATGATCTTTTGTTGCCTAACATCCAGAGTCTTTAAAATAATCATTCCAGATATTGTGTCTGTTTCCTTTATTTTTATTTCAGGTGTCCAGATAAATATGTTTTTATCACTCATTCATGGCCGAAAATGGAATTCACATGTATTTGTTTTATTTTATTTAATAGCTTTTACATATATCTTGTTTTTTTCTTTAACTTTTTGAGTAATTTTCAAAATGTTTAGATAACATCATTACTCTTTGTGTCTTCAAATTTATTGCGTAATGTTGTTAATATTCTCTTTATTTCTAAGAAACTATTTTATGTTTTGTTACATCAAATTTTCATTCTTAAATTACTTGTTTCATTTTTTATTGAACTCTATGCCAAATTTTATATATTTTATTGTATTAATGTTTTCTGCTTTTTCTAACTTCATTATTATATATTATCTCTATTATTTTCTTTCATCTATTGTTTTCTTGAAATTACTTTGATTTTTTAAATTTAAAACTTTCTAACTTAATTCATAAAAGACATAAGATTATAAGTTTCTCTTTAAGAAAGTTGGCAGTATTCTCATTATAATTTATTTCTAAACATTTTATTATTTCTAATAGGATTTCTATTGAATTCTGTATTATTAATTTTTTAAAAAAATGTACAAGATAAGGGTGGAAATAAAGTTGGATATCTTTACTGAATTTTCCTATTTATTGATGTGATCTGAAAGGGGTAGACTTAAAGTTACTTATTGTGTTGTGCATTTTCACATTGTACCAATTTAAAAATTTTAATCTGTTAGTTTTTTCTTTATTCTTCACATTGAATAATTTGTATTATTTTGTCAATCATCTGTAATCTTCATTATTTGGCTCAGATCACTCATTAAAATTCTTATTTGAAATATTATATTTCTTAATTGAAATTTTCATTTAGTTTTGAGTCATCACAAGATTTTATGTATTTTTAATTCATTAAAGGCACATTTTCCTTTGTCTCACAGTGCATACTTGTGTAGCTGCTTTAAATCTTTATCCACTTATTCAAGCATTTGTGTCATCTTGAGAATGGCTTTCAGTAATATCCTTGGGATGATTCTAATCTTACTGATTCCTTATATGCTGAATAACTTAGTTGTGTGAGTGTTACATTGTGGAGCCTCTGCATTTGGAAGGCTTTTCCTTGAAAAGTTTTAACATTTTTATTTACCAAGCAATTGACTTGTTGGGTGAAGACAGTATGCTTTGTTTCTTGCAATTCAACTCAGTTATCAGTGTAATTATTTCATCACAGACTGAATTGCTTGCTGTCTGCCCCAAATATGCATATTTAAAAGATAAACCAGGATCCGGGGATTTAGCTCAGTGGTTCCACTGCTGCCTTGCAAGCACAAGGTCCAGAGTTCGATCACCAGCACTTAGACAGAGATCATACAAAATTAGAAGTTTTCCTTATTTTCGGTATTTTCACCATTTTATAGTGGATCTCTTGGTTCACAACTCAGTCTTATTTATTAGTTTGGAAACCCAGTAGATTTTCTGATAGGTGCCTAAATCTCCTCATATGCTGTTCAGACTATGATTGTCTCACACTTAAACTCAAGTAGGAAATTGAAATTATTTTGCTGTCCCCCCCATAATTTTGAATTTTGACTCCTTTCTGTATTGTGCCTTGAGATATTTTTGTTTTTCTGTGCTTTGATCAACTTTACATTTTTAAAAAATTTAATTTATTGGTACATTCTAGGTAGACAGTACAGTTACATTCATTACTGGAATCAACTTTACATTTTAAAAAACTAGACAATAGCCGGGGGATTTAGCTCAGCTGTTTGGTGTCCTGCCTGATATCAGGCGCAAGGACCCGAGTTCAAACCCTGGTACCAAAAAACAAAACAAAACAAAAAACTAGATAATAGTTCCTTTTAACCATATTAGAAGAATCTACAGCTTATTTTCCAAAAGCCTGTCTGAGTATCTTAGTTTCATAGCAGAAGTTGTAATAAATTTATTTTTATTGAAGGTGTTTGAATTTAACACATTATTTAGCATTTTTTAACTTTTTTTTCTTTTGTATTGTTATCCTTTTTAATAGTCCCTGTATTTATTTGGTTAGTCATCTTTAAAATTTCAACATGTTTAGTGAACTTAAAAATGTAGTTAGCTCAAATCTCTTTTTTCTAGAGAAGAATTTTCTATTTTCTAAATAGTAGAAGAATCTGCATATTTTTTAATCTTGATATATCTACATTGCCTTGTTAATGTTTACAGTTAATTCTTATGAAATTTATATTTTTACCTTCCTCTTTTATCATCATTGCTTTTTAAATTTTTGTGGATATTGTTTATTCTGGGTTCAATTTTATTCTTGAGATTCACACAAGCACAATTCAATATAGTTATTTTAAAATTTGCATTCATTTTACACTCTTGAATGATAGTACAGGAAGGTGTAGAATTGTAGATAGAATATTGCTTTATATTTTCATTGTGAAGAAATATTTTTCTAGTTTATTTGTTGTTTGTAATTCAATCTTTTT